ATCATTATGGAGTGGCATGCCGTCATAACCTCTCAAGCAGCCAGGCTTGGGTCTACTGTTGAGCCTAGACCTGACATATTTAAAAAACGCATTTTTATCACTGGACTCGATGACTTTTCGCTCAACGGAGCAGTTGTACTTGAATAACTTCCGCTCAAACATGTCATTTAACCTACGAAATGAGAACCAACTTTCCGGTGTACACCGTTTGCATTTCCGTTGGAGTTCAATGACGAGAAGATAGTTACTCAAACTAAAAGCCGGTAGTAGCATGTTTGGGGTTCCAGTTAATAAAAGTGGGTAGTTTGAGAGTATTGCACTAAAGGATCCCTATTTCCAATAACCGAAAAAACGGGCCTTGCTATTCTTATTTGATTTTCCCATATTCCATCTTTCCATCATGCGTTTTTCGAATATTCCAAACACTCCTCTTCACACCCTACATATTTCCTTTTCTTTTTATTTAAAAACACTTGTGCTTCGAAAAAGTAACATAACCGGTTCCATGCCACTGAACTGATCCTTCGATATCAGATCACGCCTGCGATTTTGATAAGAAATTTTCTGCAATGCCGCCATTCTTAGCACTTAGGAGGAGGATACCCAGGAGGAGAATAAAACCATTTTAATGTACGACGGAAAGTTGTAGAGTCACCATAAAGTTGAGCGCGACCTTACCACTCAACATTAAGAAGTCTTACAATAAACGAGCTTTAGGAATCGCAAGATAAATATTCGCAACGATTTGAAAGAATTTTTCCTCTATTTTTTCACTCCGACTTTTCTCCATTCTTTAGTTTTTTTCTGTCCTTTTTTATTATCTTTTCCAATCAGATCCCCTTCAGTGAATTCAGATTCAAAGTTGTNTAGACGACAAAACCTTAGCATCCAGGCAGCATAGGAACCCGAACAACTTTTTTTCAACGCGGAGAAGATGCTATTAATCTGCTTCGGTGGAGGACCAATTATCAAAGCGATCGCCACTGACAAGAGCCTTCTATTGACCAAAACAGTTGAGGTGCACATTAGTAGGTGGGGCGGATACGATTGAATACAGGATTCAATATCTTCCCATCGGAAAACTGCGGCATCGTTCACACTTTTTGGCAGCCGTCATGATCTTAATGGTCTTCTCGTATTTGTGTGTTCCCGTCGAGTTGTCAATGGTATCGTTGAGAGACTGATGGTTCACTTCAGCGGTTTTTTTTCTACAAAGTCGCCAAAATATCACTCCCGAAGATTCCATAGTCATGATGAGTGTGCGCTTGGAACCACGTGACTCTACATGAGTCATTCCTGGCGCCTCCTCACCTGCATCCATCGAAATCTAACGCTTGTCACTTTAAGGTCCACCATGCAAACCCACCTACACACAATGCCCGTTCAAAAGTGACGAATGACTTTGGTTTCGGAGAAGATTGTTACTGCAGACGTTATTTCGGTTTTGTTCTCCAGTTTTTGTTAGAGACTGAGGTACCCATACTCACGTGCACCTAGCAAACTTCTATTCTTCGGGCGCAATTCGGTCAACGGTCTCAGCGGTGTCATGTATGAATTCGACAATGGCCCAGTCTTTGCGCTCCACCATTCGGCGCTTGATTTCATGTACCC